ATATATGGGATGCATAATGGGAGAAATGGGTTATGTTATAATTGTGAGAAGCACTGCAAATACATCTTGGTAAGTAAAAGCAATATTATGTTTGCAGCACCAGTGGGAAATGGAAGCACATGTATATGATATATATTATAATATTTTAAAGCAACCATTTCGCTATGGCGTTAACTTTCAATGTATATAAGTTTTAAATGATCCAGTATAATTTAGATCATCGTAAATAGATTCAGTGTTGCATGTCGGATGTTACTCCTAATATTTTAATAAGCATCTATTTGAATTTGGATAACACAATACAAGTCTAATTATACCATAACGTGTAAATATGGGAAACAATAACTTTAAAAAAGTATCAGCTTTCTAAAAGAGAATACATGATCAGTAAATATCCACTATATGTGTTTAATAAGAAAAAAAAAAAAGAGTGATAAATTCACACCATGCAGATTACAAAAACACTTTGAAAACCAACAGCACCGAAGTTCACAAAATCCTTCCCTCCCATTTTGTTCTCACTTGGTTGTTTTGGTTAATTTGTACTATCTTGCCTTTGATCTGTGACATCCTTGGTCTTGCATTGACCTGGTTTGTGTCAGTCTTTTTGTTGCTTGTAGGACTGTTTCATATTATGTATTATTTTGTTTTTACTGCAATAATCCGGTTTGATTATTATCTTATTTTTCTAGAGCCTACACTGTTTTGGTGTGTGTCTCACTTGTTTTATTTTAAAATAAACTCACCATCTAATTGAAAGATGACTCAATTTTTAATACTTTGACTGTTTGGATTAGAAATTAATTAATGTGCAGTCCTAAAATTAAAAGACATGTTGCATTTCTTCCTCTGTTTCTCTCAAGAAAAATGATTTAAAAGAAAAAAATGTTAATCACTTCTGTGGCATGTGATATATAAAGCAGCAGGTAAAATCACTGTGTTATAATGTACATATTTGGATCTCCATAAAGCTACTGTGGGGAAGAGAGAAGCAGAAGTATAAAATGGAATTGAAACTACACTCTATGAAAAAGGAAGGAAATTAATGTAGCATCCATACAGTTATTTGGAACATGCATGGTTCTGACATATTTACGTCTAAAGAATAAACAATTTGCTTAGATTAGCGCATTAGTCAACAATCACACATATTAACATTATACACCAAATACCAGCTAGAGTGCTTTTTAAAGCAGACATTAAAGGAACACTAACATCAAAAATAGGATAATGCCTTCCTATGGGGTTATTAAAAGACGCTGGCCGTTTGCATGCAAAGCGTGAGGTGTCCAGTGTTGTTTCACAGAGTTATACTCCGTGAAACTGCAGGAAGTGCCTCTAGTGGCTGTCTGAGAGACAACCACTAGAGGCAGTCTTTACCCTGCAATATAAACATTGTAGATTCTCTAAATCTGCAAAGATTAATATTGGGACACAGCACCCAGACCACTTCAATGAGATGATTAACTTTAAATGGACACTATAGTCACCAGAACAACTACAGCTTATGGTATTTGTTCTGGTGAGTATAATCATTCCATTTAGGCTTTTTGCTGTAAACACTGTCTTTTCAAAGAAAAGTGTTTACATTACAGCCTAAAGATACCTCCACTGGCCACTCCTCATGTGGCTACCAGAGGTGCTTCCTGGGGCAGTGCTTATAATTTTTGCTCCCTGAGCATGGTCATTTCATGCTAATGGGCGCACAATATAATCCACATCATATTTTTATAAATGCACAGTAAACAGTATTGCGAAGCAGTGGTTATCATGGTGAGAGCAGAGAATCCTCCACAGAATGCTGTCTAGCTGTAATAATCAAATAAAGCTCCTTGTTTAAGTGGCACTGTCCCCCCTTTTCTTACACCTGACACTTCTTGACACTGGCAGAGCTACCGCCATCAAGAAGTGTCAAACCCCCAGCTGTCACCAGTGACAACTGCAGAGAATTTAGCTCTGTGAAGGATCAAGCAGTCTCGCAAGAATCTCCATAGACCTCAATGTCACGTATGGTGTTGGCTCCTGGCAGCTAAAGCACCAGGAGCAAAAGAGAACTGACTGGAAAAGGACTGTGGTGCCCACGAGGCACAGGTTCATGAAAAGCTGGACTCACCTTTGCATACCTACTTGGTCACCGGGCCCCCAGCAGCGATGTTACACTATGTGAGGACCTCCAGCATCGCTAAAATCCCCATAGGAAAGCATTGCGCGCATTCGCGTTAGGTCTCCTCCCGCTGGGGGCCACGCATTTGCAATCGGTCTCCCCCGCCGATTGACCCTAAACCACCGCCGAGGGACATCGGCAGTGGTCTCAGGTAAGTCACTGAAGGGGTTTCTACCCCTTCAGAAACATGGGATGGGGGGTGAGAGGGAGAGGGGACAGTGCTGCTTTAACCCCTTAAGGACATGTGTGACATGTCATGATTCCCTTTTATTCCAGAAGTTTGATCCTTAAGGGGTTAAAGGGACACTCCAGTGCCAGGGCACTGCAGGTCCCCTCCCACCCCCCATCCATGTTGCTGAAGCGGTGAAAACCCCTTCAGTGACTTACCCGAGACCACTGCCCATTTCCCTCGGCGGTGGTTTAGGGGCCGCCCACGGTCCTACCTCGCCGACGTCAGAGACCGATTGCGAATGCAAATGCTTTCCTATGGGGATTTTAGCGACGCTGGAGGTCCTCACATAGCGTGAGGACGTCCAGCGACGCTATAGCACAGAAAACCTGTGCTATAGACCAGGAAGTGCCCTCTAGTGGCTGTAGTGGCTAGTAGACAGCCACTAGAGGAGGAGTTAACCCTACAATGTAAATATTGCAGTTTATGAAAACTGCAATATTTACAGTTGCAAGGTTAAGGGTAGTGGGAGTTGGCACCCAGACCACTCCAATGGGCAGAAGTGGTCTGGGTGCCTGGAGTATCCCTTTAAAGGAATAATAATAATACAACTCAATAGGGGGAAGGCAGGTGTGTGTTTTCTTAGCACACCTGCCTCTTCAGATAGCTCAGTGGAACAAAAAAAAGCAGAAGAAAAAGTCCCTGATTTTCTGATTGACAGCCAGGAGGTGTTTCTGCCTCCAATTTAAAAAAATGCCAATTTCTACTGCAATCTGCAATTTTTTTGAAAATGTCACAAACATTACAGGATCCAGGCAACAAAAGTTCTTCAACAAGCTGAAGTGCTTTGTACGTGTGGAGTGTTTTTTTTAATTGGACACAACCCAATAATGCACAGTTGGAACAGACAAACAGACCAAAGTTCATTTGAAAAAGCCACTTCCAGGCAATATATACAAATCAATATGACAAGAAAAAATAGAAACTATTTTAACAAATTAAACAATCACCTATAACACTACACTACGCATTGTTTAACTGACATGAGTGCCTCACTCTTACCTTTTTTAGCAGAGACTACACTTTGTCTGTCAACTTCCAATGTTTTTGTCACATTCTGAAGATCAATCTTGGTTGTTGCAAATATATCAGAGGATAGAAAATTCCAATCCTGGCAAAGAAAATGAATCTATCAAACATACAGCAAATATATATATTTCTTGCAATTGTTTAAATAATCCTAGAACCAATTGTTTTGGAATGTTTTGCAAGTCACAGAAGAGAGAATTTAGTATTGTTCTCAAAGAATTAATGGCACAGTCCTATAAACTTTGAGCAATCACTACTAAGTCCTATAGAAACAGCTGAGATTAATATCTCCCATTGTGACTGCTCTACTTTTAGAATTTTAACCAATAACTTTTCACCACATAGCATTTGCAAATGCTTAAAAATGAATACCTGACCATTGCTACACATACTAATCAGAGTCTCCTAATTGTCATAATCTGTTCTATTACACTGCTGCACTTACCACAAAGGTTATCGTAGATTTGATTGTTGTAAAAGCAAAGGCTGACAAGAATAGCATAACTTAAAGGACCACTCTAGGCACCCAGATCACTTCAGCTTAATGAAGTGGTCTGGGTGCCAGGTCCCTCTAGGATTAACCCTTTTTTTTCTAAACATAGTTTCAGAGAAACTGCTATGTTTATAATAGGGTTAATCTAGCCTCTAGTGGCTGTTTCATTGACAGCTGCTAGAGGCGTTTGCGTGCTTCTCACTGTGAAAATCACAGTGAGAAGACGCCAGCGTACATAGGAAAGCATTATGAATGCTTTCCTATGAGACAGGCTGAATGCGCGCGCAGCTCCTGCCGCCCATGCGCATTCAGCCGAAGAGGAGGAGGAGAGCTCCTCGCCCAGCGCTGGAGAAAGGTGAGTGCTTAACCCCTCAGGGCACTATAGTGCCAGGAAAATAATTATGTTTTCCTGGCACTATAGTGGTCCTTTAATAACTTAATGTGTTAATCTGTCTTTCATTTTAAGAAATGTGTTTGTTTCATAAAAAAGCAGCCGCATACATGGATGAATAATAATCACCAGGATATGATTTTAAGGTATACCAGGGTATAGCAAAAATGAGACACATTTACATGCACACACACAGAGACAAATATGCACATGCTGATATTATGAGGCAAGTTTTCGGATGTGTAGGTGCTCATTTGTGTTGACATGCCCCTAACTCCACCCCCATAATTTTTAATAATAATAATAATAGGGGAGCTCTATTCCAAACACAATATTGGATGCCCCTGGGGAAACCCTGATTTAAGGGGAGCAATTCCTAATTATTTATTACTCAGATCTTATTGTAAAGGGGGGGTGAAAGCTCAGTATGTGACTCCTGGAAGGATGCCATCTTTAAAGCTCTAGCTCACCTTCCCCCCAACCTGCTTGCTCCAGCCCAATGATCCAGGCAGCTCCTCCGCATTGAGAGCTTGGTAGGCTGGAGCTGGAGGTAACTCCTCGGAAACAGCTGGCCGCACCGCAACATGGTGCAGCTTCTGCCGAGCACGCTTCACTTTCCCAACCATACTTCAAGATTTCGGAAGTGGGGACCGCGTCTCCAGGGCACCCGAATGGTTGTCCGTGCACAACAAACGTCCGGCCGGAACATGGTGCAGCGCTAAAAACGTTCCTATGTTATCTTTGCAACGATTTGTTCCTAGGCTGTTCAAACATTCTAAAGTGAGAATTGAAAGAAAATTTAAAGCATAACTGGCTCAAATTAGGCTGTTTTGACCTTAAATTAAATATTCACTTTGAATTCACCTTGAATTCTCACTGTAGTAAATAACCCTGCAATAGGGCTCTTCAGTAAAGTGAGAATCAGGGCCGCCATCAGGGGGTGATAACCATGACGGTTGTCACGGGCCCGGCAGTCCTGGGGGCCCGAACTGCTTTGGCCCCACATTCCCTCTCTGCACATATATATAGCGATGATCGCTATATATATGTGCAGCTGTGGGCTCCAGGCTCCCTACACTTGCAGAGGGGGCCCAGCAGACTGCATCTGTATGTTACAGATCTTTGCTCTCTCTCTAACTCCTGTGAGACCCGCAGCCGTCAGAGCGTTGCCACTGGTTACCATGGCAATGCTCCATGTGGCACGCACATCACGCTTGCGGGGAGTTATAGAGAACAAAGAGCTGTAACATACAGATGCAGTCCGCTGGACCACCTCTGCAAGTATAGGGAGCCGGGGGCCCCACTATGCCACCGGACCACCAGGGAATGGAATCTACGCCTCCCTGAGCCAGGTAAGAAGCAGGGAGGGGGGGAATAACCTTTATTACATTTAATATGGGGGAAGGATGCTCTATTTGCACAACATGCATTCACTAGTAAACACACACACTCTGCATTCACTACACACTAACACATACTCTGCATTCATTACACACAAACACACACTCTGCATTCACTACACTAACACACACTGCATTCACTACATTATGCACACACTCAGCATTTACTACACTGACATATACTATGCATTCACTACACTAACACACTCTGCATTAACTACACTGACTAGGCCGCCCCAGCACTTGAGCCCCAGTTCCATTCCTCAGTGCAGGAGGAATGCAGGAGGAGAAGCCAGTAATCCGGGCCACAGTCTAGAGCGGAGGCAGCCGGATAAGAGAGGTCCTTTTCCGGTGATCAAGGGAGATATGCTGGCTCGGCCGCACAGCATCTCTGTGCTCAGGGGGCTGGGGCAGCTGGCAATGGTTCCGGAGTGACACCACGCTGTATGGCGGACGGCAGGACTGCCGCGACTTCCGCACCTCCTGGCGAACGGCAGGACTGGTGATGCGGCACCTGTGCCGAGCTCCAGGGGTTGGAGGAGTGCTGCCAGGCCTGGACTTTCGGCAGAGGGAAGCACTTCAGCACCAGGTGAGTCACCCCCAGAGGGTTGGGATGGCACAAACAGGGAGGCTCTGGGCTTCAGGAGGGTCCCCCTTCTCTTAACTTGGGCGGCCCAGCAGTGGTAGTGATCCCCCTCCCTTGCCCCCTGGTCAGTATGTTAGGAGGTCGCCACAGGACCAGCACGGCTCGGGAGGAGTCAGGCAGACTGGGAGTGATGGGTCCCCAATCACATCCTCGCCTTTTGCGAGGGCAGGTACTTCTGCAGGAGGGGGGCCCGCGCACAGTGCAAAAGGCACAGGAGCAGCATGCTAATTTCATGAGTTGGCCAGGGGAGCGGCAGAGAAAGCCTCTAAAGCAGCGCATGTACCCTGCTGGGTTGGATATAGGGGTCAGGAACAGCAGCAATGGGGCCCCGGGAGGTGCCAACGCTGGGGAACTCACTGGGACAGCTGCTGTACGGGTGGGCAAATCGCGCCACACCCAAGACCACAACGCCAGGTCCCCTAGTGTTATGTCCATCGGGGTGACTGGCAGATCGGGGAGGAGCAGGACAAGGAGGGGCCAGCGTCCCCGCCGGCGATCAGCAGTCCGCATGCGCAGCGAGGACAGCGGGTCTTCGGGGGAGTGGCTAGGGGGTCGTCAGCCACTCCCTTCATGTCATGCTCCCAGGGATGGGGGGGAGTGTTTCCAGGTCTGGTAGTGGAAGCTCCCCTGACAGGAGAGCACGAGATTGCATTAACTGTATGACAGCCAGGATGACAGGCGGGAAGGCAGTCAGGGTCAGAACAGCAGATTTGGTTCGGGTGGTCAGAGCCGTGGTTCCCTTGCAGAAGGCAGGCAGGTCAGGGAAATGTTGGATGGCCTACCAAGTCTGTCTTCTGCTTCCAGGGTCTTGAAATATTCGCTCACTGACCGGGCTCGGGTCCAGGATGCAGGTCCCAGAATGTGAGAGCGGGCTCCTGGTGAGTCACTTACTGCTTCTTCTGGGGACATTTTACAGGGGCTTTGGGTTTTCCTTGATAATTGGAGGGCAGGGTCAATTGAAGGGCTTTAGGCAAGTGTGGGAGCCTAGCACAGGGGGTGCGGGGGCCGGTGGGGTGCAGTTGGCTGGTAATAATAGTACAAGTGTCTCGGCGTCCACAAGTACTGAGTTGGGAGGGGAGCGTGAGGAATTGGTAGTTGGGATTCTGAATGCAGCGCAGCAAAATGTGCATGTTTCCTTTGCTGGCCCCCTGGGCTGTCACTTGAAGCTGGAATTGAAGGAAAGGATTTGGAAGGGCGAATTCTTAGGAATTTTTTCGCTTCCACCGCTACAGGAATATGAAGGAGGAAGACAAGAAAGACGCTAAAAAGGAGGAGGAAGAAAAATGGCGAATGTACCGTAAGATACTAAAATCGTTCGGAAACTGGTTATGTGCCTTTTGCATACTGGCCGGTGTTCTAGGTGAGAAACACCTTGAAAAGTGTTCTCAATTCTTTTGTTACTTGGATGGGTTCTGGGAGGCGTACCGCATGTATGAAGGTTTGGCTTGGTGGCGCTATGATGAACAATTTTGTCTGAGTTTGGCAGTTAACTCAGGCATGCGGTAGAACCAGATGTACCTGCCGATATGGATTAAATTGATGATGGCCCAAAAGTTTGCTTCACCCTTTCAGTCCGGGGTGTCAGGGACCAGGAACCAGACAGAGACAGAACTAGATGCAAACACACCTTTATTAATAAATAACAAATAAATAACAAAAGCAAAGTCCAGGAATCAAGCAGGGGTCAGTCACCAGAGCGGGTAGTCAGACAAGCCAGGATCAGGAGCACGGAGAGCAGCGGAGTCAGGAACAAGGCCGGAGTCAGGAACCAGGAGCAAACAGGAAACACAGGAACAAGGAGACTTCTGGGGAACAGGAAACCACGCAAGGGCAAGGAGGTTCTGGGATTTGCTGCTTAAATAGGCAGCACTGATTAGCAGCAGGGTTGATTACTACTCTCAGGTGAGTAACCGTGGCAACATGCAAAAGGAGCTGATAGTAATTGCAGCTGAAAACTCACTCACTGACACAGAAAGGGTTGCTGTTTAAAACAGCAAAGAAACCCTGACACGGGGCCAGTACGGGCCCTGCCTCCGCCTCATTGGCCGTGCTCAAGGGTCTTTGCTGGTCATTCAACGAAGGTCAATGTAAGTCGGGATCCACCTGTCGCTTCAAACATGAGTGTTCCGGCTGCGGTGGCACCCAAGGTTTCAGATGATGTTTTAAACGCGGGAAGGCAGCAGCAGGGGGTGAACGTTCCACAGGGCCAGCTGCTTCCACTGGGGTTAACGCCGGTGAAGGTTTGCCAGATGCTGCCCTGGCTAAACCGCTACGCTAATCAGGCGGATGCTTCCTTGCTGAGGGAAGACGTTTTTGTATGGGTTTTTCATTTTTTTCGGGATTGGGCTTGTATTCCGCACTTCCATAACTTGAAATCGGTAGCGGAATTTCCAGACGTTTTGAGGGACAAGTTTGGTAAAGAGCTCCAATTGGGGAGGATGGCTGGCCCCTTTGAAAAGGCCCCCATACCCAATCTTCACATATCTCTGTTGGGAGTTGAGCCAAAAAAGGAGCCTGGTGAGTTCTGGCTTATCCATCACCTTTCGTACCCACAGTGGTCATCAGTCAATGACGACATCGATGCCGCGTTATGCTCAGTATCCTATGCAACATTCAACCAAGCGGTTGAGTTGGTTAGGGATGTGGGCCAGGGGGCTTTGCTGGAGAAAGCGCTCATGGAGCCGGCGTTTTGGCTGTTACCAATCCATCCGGATTGTCACCATCTTCTGGGCTGGTAGTTCAAGGGTAAATACTTTGTGGACCTTTGTTTGCTGATGGGATGTTCTATCTCATGTGCATATTTAGAAAAGTTTAGTACTTTCCTCGAGGGGGTGGTTAGGTCAGAAATGGGTAGGAAGTCCCTGGTTCACTATATGGATGATTTTCTGTGTGTTGGTCCTTCCAGGTCGAATACTTGTCGGGTGGTACTATGAACGCTGGGATGGGTGGCACAAGTTTGTGGAGTGCCTTCGGCGGCAGACAAAACGGTGGGACCAGCTACATGTCTCAGTTTTCTAGGTCTGGAGATCCATTCGGTGGCAGGGGAATGTCACCTACCGGCTGATGGCGCTTTGGAGGGCGGTTTGTGAACTGCAGGCTGCATGGAAGGTTAAGATGCAATCCTTGTTAGGTCTTCTGAATTGTGCTTGTTGGGTCATACCAGTGGGACGGGTTTTTAGTAGATTTCTTGTGAAGGCTACTTGTGGGATCAGTTCTCCGCACCACTTTGTCCAAATTACTGCAACCATGAGGGCGGATCTTGAGGTTTGTGATGTTTTCCTTGGAGATTTTAACGACCTGGTCTTTTTCCGGGGAAAGGCGGTCTCCTCTCCGGGGAAAGGCGGTCTCCTCTCCGGAATTAGAATTCCTTTCCGGAATTGGAACTATTTACGGAGCCTTTTTTGCTGGTCAATGATGCACGGAACCATGGCCAGAATGGTGGAAAGCTGATCCTATCATCCGCAATTTAGCGTTTCTGGAAATATTTCCCTTAGTGGTTTCATTGGCATTATGGGGTCAGATGTGTTGTCTCTTTCGTAGTGGGAGAGATTCCGCTCGGTGGTGCCCGAGCGACGTGTGGCAGCTCGGGACCTCCTGTTTGGGTGCATGATACAGGATTCCTTGGTGCCTAGTACCTGGACAGCGTAT